TTCTCTCTCTTTCTCTCTCTCTCTCTCTCTCTCTCTCTCTCTCTCTCTCTCTCTCTCCCTCCCTCCCTCCCTCCCTCCCTCCCTCCTTCCTGTCTACCATGAGGTGAGAAGCTCCTCAGCTACAAGCTTCCACAATGTGTTTTCTCTGTTAGTTTAACTATTTTATCCATTTCTTCCCATGAAATCCTGCCTCCTAAAGTTTCCAATACCACTCAACAAAATGCCATTGGGTGGGAACAAAGCACCCAACACACAGACCTTCAGGGGAAACACTTTAAATCCAAACTGTAACACATGTCTTATGCTATTCTTTAGTTTGTAGAATCGTTAGAGAAAATGAACATCATGTTTAATCAATTCATAATCATTATGAAACCACACCAGTGAATGTGTAACAACCACATTCACTGATTTTTTTACATATATTTACCTGTGTCAGTCAACCCAATTGTCATGGGCCAATTCATCTTCTTTCTGTTATTAAACAGGAAATGAAGGAGAATCACATGCCAAGTGACTTCAAGGTCGATGTGAAGGTAGACACGACTCCTGGGGAAGATCTGATTAAGGCCTTGGAAGATATGAGGCAGGAGTATGAGTTGATAATAAAGAAGAAACATCAGGAGTTGGACGCTTGGCTTAGAGAGCAGGTAAAAGGAAAGCAACCAAACCTCCCAAAGGTTCGTGTCAGACGCCCCAACGCTGATGCCTCTGCTTATACTTGGTTCACAGTCCACAGCCATATCCCAGGAGGTGACTGGCCCAGCGCCTGTGCAGGTCAACCAAAGTGACATCCATGAACTGAAGCGCACGTTCCAGGCCCTAGAGATTGACCTGCAGGCACAGCACAGCAGGGTGAGTTTGGATCTAGAAAAATCCTGGACCCTGTCACAACAACCTCCTCTACAGAGCCTTCCTTGACCTCTCTCCTGGGCCCAGCTCCCCAGGTCCCTTGGGCCATCTCTCACTCTGCCGTTTTCATTCAAATTACCCGTGATGAGAAAGAAGAAATTCACTCACAATATGAAGATAGAGTCAGATGTTCACTGAGTCATTCATTATATCCGATGCTGTTGGGCCATCACATTAACTTTTCCAGATAGGTCTTAGCCCTTCCCATTTTAGAGATGAGGACACCACAGTTCCAGAGAGTTACATAAATTGAGAAAGGTCACATAACTAGTAAATTCCTAGTGGCAAGGCCATGCATGAGATATCAGGGTGTAGTGGATGATGGACCCCCCCCCATAATCTCTGTTGGTGCTAACTCCACCCAGAACTAGACTGCTCCCCAAATTCAATAGAGAGAAAGTCTCATGCAAACATGATAGGCAGCAAATTTAGGCCTGGCTGACTCCAAAGTCCTGATCTGTTCATTATGTATGTGTCTTGTCACTCAGAAAAGTTCCTGAGTCATTTCTATCTTCACTATTGCTCGGTAAAACACTCTATATAAGCACTGCTCCCAAAATTCGTTGTATACAATCATTTGACTGAATCTTCCAGTCATCTAGAAATATAATTCCTGGGCACAACTCTACACTCAGTTTTGAGAGGGCATAATTGGTTCATCTGTGTCACAGGAACATAAGCTAAATGACAAATTCATGATAGTAGACAGACATTTAAATGTGCACTGTCAGCTGGGCATGGTGACACATGCCTTTAGTCCCAGCACTCGCAAGGCAAAGGCAATTACATCTCTGTGAGATCAAGGTTGGCCTGGTCTGCATAGCAAGTTCCGGGCCAGCTGAGACTACCAGGGAGACCCTGTCTCAAATAACAAACAAACAGGAAAATGTGTACTGTTAGCTAGGCATGATGGAATGTGTCTGTAATCCTGACAACAACGACAACAAAAGCATCACCAAAGATCACAGAATAATTACAGTGCAATGGTTTGCAATTTTCAAGGCATTTTTCACATATCTTTATGGAATCAGCAAGGCATTAGTACCCATTTTCACAGCTTTTGTTATCTGATACTATGCTTAGCACTCAGAATTTGGTGTTGAAGAAGCAAGGATAGCCAAGAATAATTGTAAAAATCATCAAAGTATATATTTGTCAGATGGAGAAAATTGCAGGAGAGCACGTAAGACATGGCAGGGTGGAGAGCTGTCATCAGCACCGCAGTGACCAGGAGAGGATTGCCACTGCATAGTGACAGTTGAGCAAAAGTCTGAGGGAGGCAAGGGGGTGCCCTGTGTGGCTGTGAGTTGGAGAGGAGGGAATTCCAGGTGGAGGGAACAGCACATGCAAAAGCCACAAGACACAAGTGTGTCCAGGAAGTCAGAGGAGCAGGAGGGAAGCCAGTGTGGTTGCTTTCAGAGAACAAAGGAGAGAAGGGGAGAGAAGGACAGGGAGGGAAGAGGAAGGGGCACCAGGCCATGGGGTCAGGTCCCAACAGAGCCAGACAGTGTGGGGCTCTGTAGGCTTCATCAGAAGGGAATTTAGAACAGCAGACGTAGACAACTCTTTGAGGAGCTCTGCTGTTGGTGACAGGACAGAGAAACCGGAGGATGACTGAAGGTAGGTATGGCTCTAAGACGGAAAATTAAGGTAGGATTATCTAGCGGAAGAGGCAACACCGGAGGTGGAGGCATGTAACAGGAGGCAGTGATTACCAGAGACGGGGGACGTTCATGAGGGGAAGAAAGGCCCTGACCTGGTGGGCCGTCTCTCCTGGTTGCTGTCATTTTCACAGTAATGTAAAGGGCTGAGAGGAAGGAGGGGAGGATGAGATCTGGGGACAAAAGAGAAGATATGAAGCGGTCCTCTAGGGGGATAAGAGCCTGACCACACCAGGGGACTATGGTTTGATGACCAGTCAGTTTTAAAGGCCCATTAAAAAAACAAATGACCATTAAGGTGTGAATAGCCCGTGTTATTTTTCTTTAAGATGAAAGTTCTGTGCTACAGAAAAGCAGCTGTTGAGCCCACACAGAGCGAGGACTTGAACACTGTCCTAGCTGAGATGCTTCGTTTTGCAGTTTCAGAACTTCTGCAAAAATGATCATCTCTTACGATTGTTAAGACCACTAGGTATGCCAAATGACAGGACATTCAGTGAGAGTTTGAATTTGACATGAACATCTAAGATTCTTTTTTTTTTTAAGTATAAGAATGTCACATGTAATTGCAGGATTATATTTGGGATGTATTTGTCCGAAAAAGTTACTCATTTGCTCATCTGAAAATCAAATGTAACCACGTGTTCTCTATCGCAAGTGGCATCCCACAGCAGACCTTTAAGGATGCAGACAGCATCCCAGTTTCTATCATCTTCCCAGAGTTTTCCATTTAACCAGAGATAACTTGGAAGTATACGGGATGGGTGGGAACGAGGCCATGCATGTCCAATCCCCAGTGCATGGCATAGACCAGCAATGCCAGAAAGGTGCAATAGAGCTGTCAAACAGTCCCTGACACAATAACTTTATGCCAAAACACATGGCATCAGAAGGCCCAACACCAACCCTGTAAGTCAGCCTAATTCTCCCCAGCGACTACCAAGACATGTGGCAGAGTGACCCGCATTAGCTAAACACTGAACAAGCTTATGCTGCCAAAGCTCTTGGGGGCCTAGTAAACGTGCTATGCCGCCTCTTTCAGAAATCTGCGTTGGAAAACATGTTGTCAGAGACCCAGTCCCGGTACTCCTGTCAGCTCCAGGACATGCAGCAGATCATGTCCTACTATGAAGAGGAGCTGATGCAGCTACGCCGGGATCTGGAGCATCAGAACAATGAACACAAGATGTTACTGGGCATCAAAACCCACCTGGAGAAGGAAATTGCCACCTACCGACAGCTCCTGGAGGGAGACAGCGAAGGGTAAGGTAGTAGTGGCCAGAACACACAAGATATGTGTCCCCCCAGGGTCTCAGTCACGAGAGAGAGAGAGAGAGAGAGAGAGAGAGAGAGAGAGAGAGGCAGCAAGTGTGAGCTAATTAGTTGATACTCCCTGTATATGAGGATTGTATAAATAAAGCTATTAATGTCTCAAAGGGGAGGGGACTAACATAGTTTTGACTATTGTGTTTCCCTAATGGAATGCACACAATTAGATTAACAACAGAACAAGATATTCTAGGTATTCAAGCTGCTATTTCTGACTGTCCCAGGAAATAATGATAAAAGAGGCATGTGTTGTCTATGACCCAAGAAAATAGGTTATAAGTTTTTTTCAAAATATATAAATAAAAACGCCATTGGATCAAACTATGACCAGTCAGAGGCGCTCAAGGGCTCCAGATTGGAGACCCTGACTCTGGGAGGGATCTGGAGATACAGACTATAGGGGTCTAGAGGGAGGGACAGGGTGGCTTGGGAGAATTCTCCAAACTCCAAGGCTTCTAAAAGGTGATCCTCTCTGCCACAGAGTCCAAGAGGCTCCCCACAAACTCATGATCTTCACTCTGCTGAGTTCTTTTATCCTTATTAAAGAGCTGAAAACTGGGCTGGAGAGATGGCTCAGAGGTGAAGGGCATATACCACCCTTCCAGAGAACCAGAGTTCAAGGGATTTGATGCCTCTGGCTTCCCCAGGCACACACACACACATACACACACACACAAAAATGAAAAATCAAAGAACTGAAAACTAACAAGCAAGAAAAGGAGATTGGCTCATTCCAGGAAGGTCCATTATCGCTAAAATGAGCTATTGCCTTTTTCTTACTTTTCCAGGACAAAGGACGAGCCTGAGTTAAGCACGAAAGGTAAAAGAATCTCTTTTGCTGTTTGAACCTACGTTTTAAAATTAATCTGCGTGTCTGTCCGTTTTGTATTAGTCATCCTCACTGTGCTCCCAAAGGCCCTGGATTCCATCTTTATTGGCCTCCCAGATGGCAAGGAATTTTCAATTAAGTTAACAAATTAGGTACCACAAACCACAGTGTGTGCTCGCTGTGGCTGTCAATAATGCGCTGATTATTTTCAGTCAAAGAGCTTAGGACCAGATGAGTTTGATGTGAAAAGGTTTCTTATTTTTTATTTGTGTATGCATAGTGAGAGATCTTGAGGGTGAAACCCAAGAGTAAACACAAAACTTAGTTATGTTTCCTATATATCATACACTTATGGCCCATAGGTCTTGAATATCTTGAATATCTTTTATATGAAAGAAATTTTACAGTGTGTAATGTTCCCCATATAGCATCATGTCAGTGCTCAAAAAGTTTGAGATGTTGGGGCATTTTGGATTGGGGAACTTTGGATAAAGGAGATTCAACCTGCATATGAAAGCTCTTTGCGAACAATAAAGTGGTAACTGATAGCATTCTGTCTCTCTTAAATGACGAAGTCTGTTAACTAAACTCCTAAGAAATTAAACCACATCATTTCCCAAACTTGATTCTGTCGAACACTAGGGTAGGATGAAATATGACTGGGGAATCACGAAAGATGTGTTCCGCAGCCAGATAAGGTTGGGAACTCTGTGTACCATTGGCCTTCTCTTGAAGAGGCATGTTGTCCTGCAGTGTGCTAAAAATGGACCAGGTATTGCAGGGAGGAAAACGGGGACAAGAGAAAGAAAAACAAAGGTTTTACTTTGTCTAACTCAATTTTCTCAAACATCTTTGACCTAGGAAATGTATTTTCTCAGATTATCATTAATATATCATAGAAAGCTTTCAGAACAACTCCATGGAAATCATGCATCATTTTCTGATTAGTTTTTAATAAAACTGTTCTAAGACATTAGAGATTCAGCGAATCCGATAATTATTTCAAGGCTCCTGACCTAATTGCTACATTTCTGCAAGACTAGACAGGTGGCCCTCAGCCTCTCCTTAGCATGTCTAGTGGTGGGAATCCCAGTTCTTGATGGGATAACACAATCTACGTTTACTGTGAAAGAGGCTTTGTTTTTACAAAATTTTCCCTTGTATCTTTATTAATGGTTTCAGCTCTTCCTTACTGTCCAGAACCAGTTTATTGATGCTTCAACAAGGCATTTATTCAAATAAGGAAAACCTTTGAAAATAGTGACCACAATGGATATCTCTGGCTTCTCACCCATCATGCCATGCTATGGCATGCTTTCTAAACCCTAGAATGAAAAGTCTCAAATAGCATTTAGTGCTCTGCAAACTCACACAGTCTGTGATCAAAAGCTACACAGCCTCCTTGAGTAGAGGCACTCCTCAAAGGCCTGTGACTAGAGATCAGCTTTGTACCAGGACAAGGGTCCAAATCTCCAGAAAGTGACATTGTTCAGAGACCTTTGTTTCCTGCGGGTGGGGGTGGGGTGGGGGGGGTAGACGCCTGCTCGCTGCAGCTGGCGTTGCTTAGTAAGCATTATGAAAGGCACAGGGGAGCTGCAGGGAGCGGAGAACTGAAGGCGAGCACAGTTCTGATGGTGCGGGAAGCCTGGCAGTGATCTCTTTGGTCTTTCCTTCAGCATCTGCAGCTCCGACGCTCAAGGCCATCACTCAGGAGAGCATCAACGGAAGAATAGTTCTTTCTCAGGTGAATGAGATCCAAAAGCATGTGTGAAGCCAATAAAAGTTTGTCCCAGTTGTGAAAACTATGTTACCCTGATGGAAAAGTCCTTGCCTAGACACTAATGGGTGAGTCTCAAAAGGGATCCTTGGCGTTACCAAACTCAGAAATTTTTTCCTCTGGAATGGCCTCGCCAGACTTCCCATAATGCTCTTAATATATTGCTGGGATTTTTTCTAATCAAAGAAGTTTATGAGTTTAAAGCTCTGCTCTTCTGGTACAAGCTTCAGAGTTCCATCACTGTGCATCTGGTTTGTAACCAATAAAACTCCACACAAGCTGCATGTCTTTTCTTATATTGTAAGGCAAGACAGAACCTCAAGGTCTTTCCAACGAGATGCTCTCCAAGCATTTCCATGAAAGATCCAGAGGGATCTTCAGGCTTCAGCTATGTCCCCAGGACTCAAACACTGGGCAGAATGGTCAGCCTAAAGCTGTGCAACCCAGGGGTAAGGTGTGGAACATGAGGCTCTCCAGACCCCGCCAGCAGAAAAATGTGACGGAAAAATAGAAGGAGGAGTTCTGAAGTTCTCTGAGGTGAGCGAGCACTATCCCGTCCCACTTGTCTGAAAAAAAATAAGAGTCGCTGAAAGATGCAGATGAAAGTTAAAACTCAGAGAGGCAATTCAGTGGGAAATCTTATTACCTTAACAAGGAAGTGACTCATCCGGGGTCCAAACTGCCAATACTAGGATCCAGAGACTTACAATAAGCTGTAGACTTCTGTCTTCTGAGAGGGTACCACTGTCTCAAGTTCTAGAAAAGTGGGTCCTTGTTCTAAGGCTGGCTCTAAGGGAACTGCTAGGGAAAGGGGGGTGGAATTTCACATATCTGCTAAGACATCGTCAGAATATAGTACATGGAATTATCAGCTATTAGCAACCTAAAAAACCAAATGCACAGGATAGGCAAAGTCACTTGTTTTATAGACAAATAAACTGAGGCCCAGAGCAGTAAAGGCACTGACCCCAACTGACACTGGTGCTGCTGGGTGTAGGTCCAGGTTTCACAGCCCATCCAACAGTTGTTAGACTAAAATAGTGGATGTGACTGAATATCCCATTTTAATCTCTGCTTTAATTCTTTCTTTGAAAGGATTACTTTTGATGTTTTCTGAGCTGAGTATTTGCTGAAACTTACTTCATTTGGCTTTTAAAGCAAAAAGTGGTATTACTGATCCTTAGTACCCCCAGAGTAGAAAATCAGACCCTAACAATCTAGATTAAAAAGAAAACTAAGATAGCCATATCATTGAAAATAAATTCCAGGTGTAAAATTATAAGTTTATATTTACTATGTGACTATCTCAGACAGTCTCAAGGACAGCTAATATACAAACACCTCAACAACATCTATTTGAAGCTCTACTTGTCCATCATGACTTTTGATGTTATTTTGGGGAAGAATGAATCCAAATTAGAGTCTATTCTCTTTTCCTTTTTCACTTTACTAGAAGAACTTCTTTGTGTTAACAAGATACAGATCGCCAAGCAAATTCAAAAATAATTTTTCTCTATTTTAGCACCCACTCATTCTGCTATTTTAGGCATTCTTCCTTAAAATGTAGAAACGAAATGTGAGGTCATTCCTCCCCATACTGTTGGATTCTATAGCCACAGACTCAACCAACCACATAGCAAAATTATTTGAAAAAATGGATTGGTAATGAACATGTACAGAATTGTAATCCCTTGTCACAATTCCTTGACTAAAACACAATAATTTGAATTGCCTTAGGTATTATAAGTAATGTTGAGTTTATTTAAAGACTACAGGCTGTATAAAAGTACCTTGACATTCTAAATGATGGACTTGGACATCCATAGATTTTAGTATTCACCCTGGATCTAATCCTCTTCAAATACCAATGAACGCACAGTCTTCTGAAGATGAAGTTGGAGCATCGCTCAAAAAATTCCTGGAAGAAGTTCAGGGTGTAGCTCAGTGGCAGAGTGCTTGCCTCACACAAAGAAGGTGCCAGATTCAGCCCCCAATGCCAAAGGAAAATAGTCCCTGGAAGAATGTTCAAAAAGAACACATTGAGCTAAAAGGAAAATTATAGAAACCAAACTCGGAAAATAACTGCTAACCTTACTCCCATTATATATAATTTGGCAATTGAAAATCACTCTTCATATAGTGACCTAAAATACTCCCAAAATATTATTAATTTTCATTGTATCAGTTAAGGTGATCAGTGTATCCCAGTCTTCCCAAGAAACTTCCCAGTCTCAGGCAAGTAAGGAGGATGGTCACTGTCCTAGTTTGTTCTTCATTGCTGTGACAAAATACTCTGACTACTACCAACTTGGGGAGGAAAAGGTTTATTTATCTTACATCTCCCAGGTCAGAGTTCATCAGGGAGCCCACGGTAGGAACTCAGGGCAGGAACCTGGAGGCAGGAGCTGGAGCACAGGCCATGGAGGTATGCTACTTACCGGCTTGCTCCCCTGGCCCCTGCTCAGCCTGCTTTCTTACACAACACAGGCCCACCTGCCTAGGGGTAGCACCACCCACAGTGGGCTGGGCCCTCCCACATCACTCAAGAATCAAGAAGATGCCCCACAGACATGGCCACAGGCCAGTCCAATAGTGGTGATTCCCCGATTGAGGCTCCGTCAACCCAGGTGTGTCACGTTGACACTAAAGCTATCCAGCACAGTCACCCTATTGATAAAGAATCACTTTTCTTTCACTAAAGAGAGGTAAATAGAGAGAAATTTAACTGTTTGAATAAAGAGACAATTGTGTAAGTTTTGGCTCTAAATCACATAGACTAACCTTTAACCAGCATTTATATCAGCCCCAAAATCTTTCAAAATACCCATGACAAATCGATTAGTGCTTGTGTATTCAGGCGAGGCACCAGGTAAAGAAGTTTCTGTTTACATTTGGTTTTGACAAACATACGCCCAACCCACAGAAAAGAGATGCTAATAAATTCTATTGTTTTCATTCCAGAAATATTTTGACTAAATATCAGTTATTATGCTGTTACCAAAACCCAACTGAACAGATATTTAGCTAATCCAGAGATGTAGGAAGGCTTGTTTTGGAATTTAATATTAATGTTAATGCATTTACCTGCGGTGTCATAATGGTTGAGTACATAGATCCATTTGATATGATTCAATCCAATAAAACACACATCTCTATATTTTCCACTATTGTTTTACTGTGTTGCTGATGTGTGAAATTGAGAACTAAATTTCACAAAACATCATCAGGATGTGGCAATGTGCACATGTAATCCCGGCACTTAGGAAGCTGGGGCAGGAGGACCTCAGGTTGGAGGCCGACTGGGCTACATAGTGAGACTCTGTCTCAAAATAATGTAGCCCATAAAAATTCACTGTTAAGGAATACAGCAACTGTATTTCCCAGGAGGAGCAGCCCCAAAGCCAAGAAAGGAGCAGAAACTCAAGTCATGGTAGCAAAATGCGGATGAGAAACCAGTCCAAGGAAGTTTCTTTAGCCTAGGCATTCTCAAACACGGCTGTTCTTGGGATCACCTAAAGAGACTTGACAATTCTAATGCTTGGAGAGCATACTACACCCACCAAGTCAAGGTATGTGATGGGTTGGCCTGTGTCTTAATATATTTCCAATATTTCCCAGTAACTACCATGTCTAGCCAGACTTGAACATTGCCCAGATCACAAATTTTTAATAGTCTTCATGGACGTTAGTGACAATTAATATAAAATTTTAAGAGCTCCTTCATGTACCTTTCAGGGGCTTGTGATTAGAATTTCACTTACAGAGTTATGAAGGGCTTCCAGTAACACAGCTGAATAAAATCTTAACATAGAGCAAATACTTTATCTCAAAAAGTATTTCACAAAGCCCTGCAAACACCTCCCACCTACACCTACTGATATCGCCTCCAGGTGCATAATCAAATATTTTTGCCAAGGACTCTTGTAATAAGTTTCTATTTTGAAATTTTGCTGTTACTTTAGCCTCATTTCTGTTGCCGCTTGGATTTTTTTCACAGGAAAGTAAAATATAATACATGCAAATAAGAAAGTTGAGGGAAAATATCTTCTGGCTGGGTGACTTTAAAAAAAAAAACAAAAAACTTTCCTGTCTAAGAGATTGGGAAACTAAAGTCTGCGAAGTTTAGCTAAGCCCCCTTCATTCCAGCATTTCCAACGCATGGAAACTAAAATTAAAGAGTACATCCTATATTTTTAAAAACTCACAGAAAATTAAAAATAACACTTCTAAATACATGAACTATTGAAAAGTCAAAATAAAAAATATACACCCTCAAACTGGAACCAATATGTAGAAAAACAACTGGGAGAATAAAAAGAAACCTGAGATAGGTTCTAAAGATTGAAATTCCCTTTTCCGTACATGTGGACTTACATTATTTGACATAGACCTCATTTTGCATAGACTTGAAAGACCTACCTTGTGTGAAATAATATAGCATATTTTTAGCATATAATTTCTTTGGGGTAAAAATAACCTAATTTCAAAAATACCTTTTGTGGCATGAACCAGTGTCCCACCACAGTTACACATGTACCTATTTCGCCTTTCAGAAGGGAAAAAGGCAGAAAATATGATACAGGCATCAGTGACCCCGATGAACCCGCACCACCAGTTGTCATGACCTACAATCACTCCCACGTCTCCTCTGGGCTCGTCGTGATTTCACTTGACAAATGAAACACTAGCAAACATACACAAACAGGGACCTAGCATATGCTGTATTCTGGGGTTCCTTCTCTTAGAACGCTCCCAGTCTGAAGCCAACTACGTTCAAGAAGCCCAATTGAAGCCTGGTGAGAAGGCTCGGTCCATAAAGCCTTTGCCTTACGAGCACAAGGACCTGAGTTTGGATCGCCAGCACTCGTGTGAAAAGCCATACGCAATGGAGTGGGCCATAATCCCAGCACTTGGAAGGCAGAGACATGAGGATCCCTGGGACTTACTGACCAACTAACCTTTCCAAATCATTAAACTCCAGGTTCATTGAGAGAACTTGTCTCAAAAAATAAGGTGGAAAGCAACTGAGAATGACAGCCAGTACTGACCTCTGACCTCCACACACACACATATACACACACACGCATCTGCACTCATATGCACCCATATTCACATATTCAGACACAAAACATTCAGTTGCTCGAGATTACTAGACTGTGAGGAAGGTAAGCTAGCCTCAAAGAGATTCTCACAGGGAAAATAAGAAACCAGCCAACAGCTTTAGGGCGGCTCCCAACACATGACTTGAATCCCCCCATTCCAG